ACAGTTGGCATTTATTTTGAGTCATGTTGTGTAAATGGTGAATGTTAGTTTCCTTTTCACTCTCGTGTGGTCTCCACTAACTACTGAGGAACATACACATACATGCCAAAAGTATTCACTCACAAATTCAAATCATTGAATTCAAATGTTCCAATCACTTCCATGGCCACAGGTATATAAAAATCAAGCAGGCAAGCAGACTGCTTCTAAAAACATTTGTGAAAGAATGGTTGCTCTCAGGAGCTCAGTGGATTCCAGAGTGGAACCATGATACCTGCAAAACAAGTCCAGTTGCGAAATTTCCTCTCTGCTAAAAGTTATTGGCATTATATAAGCGGAAGCAATTACGAACAACAGCAACTCAGCTATGAAGTGGTACACCACGTAAAATCACTGAACAGGGTCAGTGAATGCTGAGGTACATAGTGCACAGAGTTTGTCACCTTTCTGCAAATTCAGTTGCTACAGACCTCCAGACTTCAAACAGCCTTCAGATTAGCTCGAGAACAGTGCATAGAGATCTTCATGGGATGCTTTTCCAGGGCCGAGCTTCTGCATCCAAACCTTACATTACTGAGCGCAATGCAAGGCGTCAGATGCAGTGATATAAAGCATGCCACCACTGGGCTCTAGAGCAGTGCAGATGTGCTTTCTGGAGTCACAATTCATGCTTCTCCTTCTGGCAATGTAAAGGATGAATCTGGGGTTGGAGGTTACCAGGAGAGTGTTGTCGGGTGGTTCTTCAGGAGTTGGACTTGCCCCCTTATTTCCAGTGGAAGAAACTCTTCAGCATACCAAGACAATTTGGACAATTTGGCGATGGCCTCTTCCTGTTCCAACATGTCAAAAAAGACATGGATGAGCGAGTTTGGTGTGGGAAACCGTAACTGGCCTCCACAGGGTCCTGACCTCAACCTGATAGAATGCCTTTAGATGAATTAGAGCAGAGACTGTGAGAAGGGCAGGTTGAACATCAGTATCTGACCTCACAAATGTGCTTGTGGAAGAAAAACTCCCATAAACACCCCTAAACCTTGTGGAAAGCCTTCCCAGAAGAGTTAAAGCTGTTGTTGCTGTTTACTTTAACAGCTGACATTTACGTGTGCCCGTCTGCTGTTTGGTGCTTAGTGGGTGTAATAGCTTATTTGGTAAAACCTGCTTCCTGCTGCACCTGGAAGCTCAATAACACAAGTCAGGCTGAGCCACACAGCACCAAAACAGAGAGATAACTGTGATTGTTTCTCAGGTTTATCATTATATAAATATGAGAACTATCCAGTGATCAAAAAAGCCCAGCACATACACAGGTGTTATAAATTATTCCAGCTTTGTGGATTTGTGGAGTCAAGAGTTACAGGATGTAAACAAATGCCAAATGCAATAAAACTGTTATTGGGAAAGTGAAAGAACTGTTGGTCAAGCATCATGTCAGGGCCATTTGTGTGTTTAAATGAGGGTGCTTACACATGTAGACAAACGTCATGCGACTCATACAATTTGTGTTTGTGGCACTGGCTTCGAGGAAAGACTCAGTGCTGAGCTACTCTGTGTTCCCACAACAACTGCAAAGTTTCTTAAGAGTTGTGAAACCTGAGTGCAATGTGTGCCTAATTACTTACTGTGCATGTGTGTGTGTGTGAGTGACTCAGCTGTTTCCACACCACCGGAACAGATTCAGACTGACTGGAAGCACTTGAACCAATCAGATCACTTGGGGTGGAGTGGGTGTGTTTCAGAGTGCCCGCTCTGATTGGACCTGGGGTCCGCTGGAGTAAAAACAGCACAATAAACCAGCTATGAGTGTTTCATCACAGTCAAGTGATGTGATTAAGTCATATATAAAGAATAACAGTGATTACATCCAGACTTTGTTGCTTTTCGTCTTAAAAGTATCTGGATAACCTTTACCTGTTGGCATCTCTCTGTTTTTGTCTATACTACAAAGTAAGCATATTATTTTTATGATAATTCCATAAAAATACTCCAAAAGGTACAAATAGCACAAACACGGCTAAGAAGTCCAGTTCAGGTGAAGCTGGCTGACAGCTACACCTCATCAGTCAAAGCTATAATAAATCGGTCAAAATTATTTTTTTGTACTACACCATAAACACGTTGCTACAGTAACGTCTCGTCTTCGGAGCCGTCCTGAAGTGGTCTTTACATGAACTTCTTTTGACTCCTGGATTTTGCCTCTTGGGTTAAACACCCAGACAAATACAAAAGGGTGGAAACTGTTTGTCCATAAGTGACAGCGAATTGGGGTCGAGGCCCACACAATGCTGGAAGGAAAAGGGCATGACAAGCGTCAAACTTTCCCTTGAGCTAAAAGTTTTGACAGCATCGATCAACACGCAGACAACGTTGTGTTTCTTCTCATCTGTTTGTCCAATGCATGTCACTGAAACATGAGCAGGTGTGTTTAGGAGACAGTTGTTGTTGGATCGGTGTTGTTGATACAGGCTGTTGTTGTTGCCCCCCACCCCACCCAACTGCACCCAAACCAGCCCAACCTAACCCAACCCCATCCCTCTGTACTCCTGATGGCTGCCGGATGGAATGTAGTGTGACTCGGTTATTTTTAGACGGGGTCACTTGAAATACTCCAAGCGGGGCTTCATTGAGGATAAACAGAAGCTGCTCTCGTGCAGTGTGTCACACTTAAAAGCTGAGCTTACCTCAAGCCTAGGTTTGCATTTTGTAACAACTGGAAAACATTTAAATTAGGTGTTTCTTTTTTTCTACCATTATCCGTGATCCAGTTTTTACCTGGCTGTTTTATTTGCACCATTTAGCCCTCTGAAGGTGCCTGAAGACCTTGAGATGTCTCCTGAAGACCATGGGGCAGGATTGAGGTACAAATTTGTGTCCTGGAGAGGAAGCCAGAATAGATTTAAGGAGCAATGACTTGTCTGGTCTGCTAATCCAGATCCAGTAGAAAGAATTTAGCTGTTTTTACAGTTGGAAACATGCAGATATTTGGACAATTTTGGTTGTATTTGTCCCTTTATTGTAGGCTTGAAAACGCATGGATCTGAGATTTACTTATTTTTTTGGCAGAAATGAAGGAGATGATGTAGCACTTTTAACTGAACAAACTCAAGTACTTTAAAGAAAAACTGAAAACTTTTATTTTTGGGGGGTTGGGAGGGTGACCTGAACTTACTAAAGAATCTCAACGTAAAGTTAGATCATACTAGAATTATTAAATTTATAATACATTCAACCTTTGATGTCAGTCTGAATAAAGAAGCACCACAGAACAGATGAACTTTGAAAAGTTGTGTCATTGGGCCATGTCGCTCTGTTCCACTGGTTTCTTATATAACTTGCTTGTTTTGGCTTCATACGCAGACAC